TGACAGATTAGTTAGGGTTTTTCAGAGTTGTGTAACTGACAGATTAGTTAGGGTTCTTCAGAGTTGTGAAACTTCAAAATCTCACAACAATTTACACCATTTTTTTTTTTAACTTGGGTGAAACTGAAACACATTTCTTTTACGTTATGACTAGAAGATTTTTTGTTCAAATATGAATTTTTCTGGAATCCTTTAATTGTGTTTCTAGCATTTCATCTTTTTTAAACTTAACTGGCACCAGTAATACTATAAGGATTTTATTAAATTAAAATTTGATCAATTTTTTTGTCTTAGTGTTATTTGTTGCTGAATTGTCATCAGTAAGTATTTGTATATTTCCTAATAATGGTTTTAGTTTTTTTTTGTTTTTTTTCAACAAGAAAAATCAGAACCTTTTTTTTTTTATATAGCTTTGTTTGTTTGTTGGCACTTAGTAAAAATATTCTAAACTTTATATAGTTTTAATTGTTGACTACTAATTTGAAAAATTTTTTTGTACTTTGATTAATGATACACAGTGAAGGGGATTATAAGTTATTATTTAGCTTTAATTGTTGACACCAGATGCAAAAAGAAGAAACCTTTTTGTTGTGGCTCTTGGCACAACACACAAAGAATCAATTGTTGTGTAATTCAATAAATTAATTTCTTGTTAAGTGAAATATTTTTTAAACAAGTATTCATTTTTTGTTCTCTTTTTATCACAACTTTTTTCTGAAAATTTAATTACCTCCCCTGTGAAACGTGTACTGTAATTAACGTAAGTAATTATTGTAAGGTTTTATGTAATAAAAAAAAATCAATCATTTTCATGGTTAGTAAACTACTATCACTGAATTCAAAAATAATTGGTAACTACGTGATAATTAGACTTGGGTAATCACAGGGGCTACCAGCCATGACAATGATTGTATTATATTCATACCTTTTTACTTTAATTCAGTGATCTTTATATGTATTCTGACTTTTCATTAAGAATCCTAATCAACTCATTCCAGTTGATCAACCACGACAGATTCAAGAACAGCCACCGTATTTCAATCTACTTAAGCACAGACCATGAGGTACACACAGTTGGAATCTTGGAACAGATTTTTAAAATGGACAAACAGTGTTTTATACCTAAATATGAGTAAGTAGTGTCGTGTTAATATTTGTACTTATCAACACATTTTGTTTTGGTACTACGCTTTCAATATCGGTACAATAGGTTGCATTAGTATTGATCCAAACTATATATGTGTGTGTGTGTGTGTGTGTGTGTGTGTGTGTGCATTCGTATAGATTAATTTCTAGTAGTTGGAAGAATATATTTTTTTTCTATTCCATTGTAATCTTCTCTTACTATGATAACCTTAGCGTGTATGTATGTATGTAACCAAAACTCCTTCACCATCTATTGAATGGCACCACAAACAAAAATACATTAAAAAAAGATTTTATACTTTGGGTATTCAAGATTCAGACAATTAAAAAAATAACTGTGGTATTTGCAACAACCATTAATTTATAATAGAACACAATTTTAAATAAAAGTATGCTCGCCAGTGGCACAGCAGTATATCTGCAGACTTACAATGCTAAAAACCCGGGTTTTGATACCCATGGTGGGCAGATCACAGATGGCCCATTGTGTAGTTTTGTGCTTAACGTCAAAAAACAAACAAACAAATAAAAATACTCTCCTCACAACAAGAACGCGACTTTCACTAGGACTGTACGTGAGGGTATCTTTATTGATGTAATTTTTAAATGTAGTACTGAGAAACTGGAGTTCTTAAAAACACTATTATTTTTTCAATAAACGGTACAAATATATAAAATATTATATATATATTTTAATATATAAAAACATGACAGTTTATACTAGTAAAATTTGTGAAAATTTTTAACTCTGTACATTGATTCATTTTGATGAAATGAGTTGTGTTTGACTAAAGAGCACAATCCAAACACACTTTCCGAGTATAACTTCCCAGAAAAACAATCCATTTTGTAAAATGTTTTTCAAGGAGGTATGAATACCATAATTAGATAAACAGCCACCCATAGGGCAGTGTTTCTGCTAGTATATATAAATTGTGTAGCCTCAGTAAGGAGCATACTCGATAAACTTTTTCCTGTTGGAGCTCTTAATATCTACCAAGCCTAACCATAAGTTAGTATAAACATGTTACTGGATTATAACGCCCTCTTACTGACCAGGCTTTTCAAATATTTTACATTTATGAAGCAAACAAACGAATTCATAAACTTTAAGGACATCCCATCCACTAAACTTAAACTCAAAGCCAGCTGTTATCATTAACATATTTATCAAGTCTTCCTTCAACTTCCATTAAATCTACTACGTCCACATTATCTGAATCCAGCCCATTCCAGATGCCAACCACCCTCTTAGAAAAATAAAACTATCTTTGCTGGTAATGACTCCTACTATTCTCACCATTAATTATAAATAAATGATGGTACATCAACATTACCAATTCCATTAGCAGTTTGAAACACCCCAATCTATGCACTAAGTATTTTTAAAGTTTAGGTTATATCTTTAACAGATTAAAAGTCTGGTGAAAATGTCAGCAGGGGGTGGTGTCAGTCTTGAATAAATTAATTTTTTCTTTATGAGATTTGTTACTTATCTGTTGAGGAGATAGTATGTTAATATTTAGAGAATTCTGTCAGTTTGACTCTGTAATCCTGCCAGACTTCATCCTTGATAACCAACTTAATGATAACTGATGGTGTGACTCTGTAGTCCTGCCTGACTTACAGTTTTTAAGAATGTTTGGTTGGTTGGGGAAATCTAAAAAAATAGTCATGGGTTCAAGTCTTGTCCAGTCTCAATTTTCCCTTCTGATTTTTACAGGATGATGTGGCACCGATAAATTTTCCAGTGTTTTATTTTATTACATTAAATTTTTTGGACATTTTGGTTCTTTTTTAAAGTTTAACTTCTGTAAATCCTGATTTCAAAAACAACTTTCTCGTACACTGTATTCCATTATTTTACACTTTCTTTAGTTTTTATCTTTTCTCATATTAATAATATATTTGGTGTTGAATGAAATACCTGCTCATTACAGCTTAAACAACCAGCACATGGATATGGTCAGGCTTTACTCACTAGAAGACTTGGCTAAACTCCCATTGACCAAATGGAATATCAAACAACCATCTGATGATGACCACCGAGAAGAAGCTCTTGCTACTGGTATGTTAGTTTAATTTGTGAGGAATTAACTTTGTTATTCCTCCTTCAAATACTAGCTAATGTTGGCTCAGAATCATTGTAAATGTTATCATACCATTACTCACAAATAACGTTTTTTATAATAATTTACAAATTTTCTACCTTTTGTGCAATCATCTTATCAAGTTTGAACTACAGTATATCATGTAACACAACACTTACGTGATATTTAAGTTACATGTTTTAAAACTCAACTTCACTGCCAAGTTACAGAAGAGAGAAGTTTTTACATTATTAGGTTTTTTTTATTAGTACTTCTTATACAGTCAGTACCACCTAAATGACAATCTACCGGTGCCTGATTGAATTTGCCATTCAACATATGACTGTCTTGTGTATTTCTCATTATCTTAATAAACAGTTTCTGAGATTATTCAGTTTGTCTTTGTTGTAGATGACCACCTCATCGTGTTACACTTTGTAACAAAGTGTACATTAAGACTAACAAAATAATCTAATCAACAGAGCTAACTTTCAGTTATTTCTTTTATCATTTCAACTGTGTATGATAACAATGGTGTCATTGTTTTGGGGTCATTATTGTACTAAATGACTGTTAAGATTTGGAAAAAAGTTTCAACAGGTGTAAGACTTTTAAGATCAAATTTTTCCAATACTTGTAAAAGTATGCGTGTTGTGTTTGTGTCCTATTTTTAATTCCTAGACCTTTTTGTTTCAGAAATTCTTGTTAGATTTGTGCATATTTGATGGTAACTAGCAATTAAATATTGTGGTTATTTGTTCAAGTAAGAAAAATTAGCAGGATACTTTAGTCCGGTATACGTTTTGTTAATTTTTTAGACATGAAATTGGATGTGAAGTTCCATTTTTTTACTACTTGTAGGTGGACTGGACTTGATGGTCATCCCAGGCTTGGCATTTGATAAACGAGGAGGACGAATCGGAACTGGCCAGGGCTATTATGACGTCTATATTGATCGTTGCCTACACGACCCTAGCGGTCGTCCTTACCTGGTTGGATTAGCTTTTCAAGAGCAGATACTACACAGTATTCCCATGGATGAACATGATATCGTAGCTGATGACGTCGTTTTCCCTGATAACACTAGTGAGGTGTAGACTTTCAAATGTCTTCCCTAACCTCATTTTTATTGTGTTTTTTCTTTTTGTACATCTAGTCAGATCTATATTGCCAAAGTCTCCTTCCATAGGTATAACAATAATTACTTACACCTTGTTTTTCTTTCATAGCATTATTTTATAATTTCACATGAGCAGTTGTTAAGCATGTGTACTGTTATAAACCCATGATTACTTCAGGTGGGCTTGATCTGATTGTGGATCCCGGTTTGGGCTTTGGTAAATGGAGATGGTCGGATAGGAAGTAGTAGAGGTTACCGTGATTGTTACACTTTCTGCATGACCCTCTTGGCTGACCTTACTCTATTGCCTTGGTTTTACTGGACATCTTCTACGGAGTGTACCCATGGATGTGCATGGTGATGTTGTAGATGAATTAACTTTCCCAGATGTGACTGATGTTTCTTTTTTGGGGTTTCCTCAGTTAAGGACATTGGATATGTAACTTGAAAGTTTGTTAAAAATATGTAAAAGTTAAACAGTAAATATAAATTCCCACTACATCAGTTATTAAGGACAATTGGCATAACTTCGGAGTCCTGCCAGATTTTAAGTTTGTTAAAATAATAAAAGTCAAAGATGACAGTAATTTAGTTTACTAGTTTGTTAATGTACATCAAAGTTTAAGGACAGTTTGCAATGTATTGTGTCACAAAGCTACACGCGTAAAAAGCTAGCACTCTGGTGTTTTGTATACTTGGGAAAAACCCAATAGAATGTTTACTGCACTGCAAGTAAAAAGTAAATCACTTATTCTTTATTGCACATATTAAAGCATTTTTGTAATCTTATGTCACAAAAAAAAAAACAGAAAAGAGATATATATCCCTTTTCAAGATGTAATTAAACTTGTAGGCCTAGGGTATTTGTTAGTCATGTCTCTGAAAGCAGCATATAAAATCATTTTTAAATGACAGTGAAAATAGCTAAAATGCTATCTAGATAATAATTTCAGTAGAAAATCAACATTTCCTTAATCTGAAGGGCACTGTGTTTTATTCATTCTGGTTCTTCAATTAAAATAGTATTGGTCATATCAGAATTTTCATTATATTCTTAAGCCTTTTTGATTAACATGTTTCCCACTTGTATAACTGCCGAGATATAAAACTATATATATATATAATTAGCGAGAGCTGTAATGTGGCATTATTATAAGGTCTAAAGATTTTGGTTTCACTTTTAGATCAAGGTTACATGAAGTCCAATAAGTATACTATAATTAACGGCATCTTCCTCTCCAGTGTATATGTATAGTTCCTGATGTAAGTAAACCTATCTAACATTTTTCAGTACATTATTTAACTAATCTGTGAACTACTTTGTTTTTGCTAGCAATTTTCTTCTTTTCTATTTTGAAAGCAGATGTGTGGGATTTTGTAATCCAAGTAATAGTTGCAAGTAGCATATTTTGTGCTGACTGTAATGCATGTTCAAGTACTTAGGGTTAGAAAAATAAACTGTTATCAGCAAAACAGATATGGAGTCTTTGAAGTGAATTTTTTCTGTCAAATAAAAAAATGTAGGAAGAAATATAAGCTAAACTAGTAGATACTTGGTACAATAAGTACTGTTGTTCAGCTGTGAAAAACTAGTAGAAACTTGGTACAATAAGTACTGTTGTTCAACTGTGAAAAACTAGTAGAAACTTGGTACAATAAGTACTGTTGTTCAACTGTGAACTCAAATATACACTTTTTTTAGGAATTTTGGGTAAGAAACAGTTTTAGTGGAACAATAAAAACCTAAGTATCAGTTGTTTTGTTTACTCTGTAAAGTGACCCCTCTGTGTGTTTTATTTCTTGGAATGAAACAATATTAATTAAACAAAAAATACGCTTTATTCAACCTATGAATATATCAACACTCATGATCACAGTCTCAGAAATTAGGCTTAACTGATATATTGAAAGCTACTTGTGGCCATAGTTTCCTGTCAGAAAAACCTTTTTTAAGCCTTTTATTTATTATACAATCGTTGACACTCCTACCACTAGAAACGTTGTTAATTATAAATCTTCAAAGTTTTTACAAAAGTTTTATATTTATACATCGCAAATAGAGACCGTTTTAAATCACAGTTATTCACATACAAGAAGAAAAACAGTATATTTTATTAAGATGTTCAAGTTGTAATAAAAAATAAGTGGGAAGGGCCAAACTTGTTATCTAATGTTATCTAAATCTAAGACAAGTTTGCCTGTATAACATGGAACAGTACCAAACCCCGAATATTATATTAATTTATGTACCTAAACCGGCAAAGACCAATCGGTGTAGTTCATTTAATATATTCCTTTCGATCGTCGTTAACTATTGCAGATCATCAAGGTTGGTAAGTCTAGGTCGTAAAGCTGATAAACCCGCAAAATTTAGTAAATTCGTTTAATTTCGTGGTTCAGTGTGTACTTTATGAAAAACTTGTATATGACTTGTTTTCTTGGAAGAGAATGTATAGTACCTGACTTAAAAGATAATAAAGTTTTTACACAAAGTTCTCCTCAACAAAACAACTCAAGGAATAAAGGTACGTAGTTCACCATGATACGGCTGTCAATAACCCCTGCTGATGAAAGTATATTTATCAGTGCGATTACTAAGGAAGAGATTAGATTAAGGTCATTAAACCCGTAAATTAAATATTTTCACTTACCGGTAACTGCTTATGTAAGATACGATTTTAATGGGAGTTCCCATAAAGTTACTGATTTTTTTTGCCGTAAAACGTGGGTTAGTCGGGTTTTTTTCTTGTATTTAACCACCCTCAAAGTTAGCCTATTATTTTACATTTGTAAAGTTTTTACCAGTATTCTAGTATAAGTTTAACATATTTTTTTATTATCACAGTTATAATTCAATAAAATATGGAAACAACTACCCAACTTGATTATTTTTTCTTAGTCCCTTTAAAGGTGCAAAATCCGATATATAAACAAGAACTGAGTTTTTCTATAATCCACTAAGGCCTATTAGTTGGAAACAAGACCAGTTTTTCTATATTAGTTAATTATTAAGCCTATTAGTTAGAAACAAGAACAGAGTTTTTCTATATTAGTTAGTTATTAAGCCTATTAGTTAGAAACAAGAACAGAGTTTTCTATATTAGTTA